TCGCTTGGGATTCACAGTGAGGGGTTTTTTATTCATCTCTTATCCACATCAACCATTCTCTTGAGGGCTCCTTTGCATTTCCTCTTCTCCTGCTTTCCTGTTGCAGGGACCCCTGAGTTGAGATTTTCGAGCAGTCCAGTGGGAGGTTAGACCCAGATTTCACCCACTGTCCGGGAAAGTGACTGACGTTAGCTGAGGATCTGGGCTTAGCTCCTTAGGGGTTCATCCAGGGCATGGTCAGGAATGCCCGAGGGCTGGTCGGGATACACGAATGCCGCTTTGTGAAAAATGTTGAGGGTCCAACAGTCGCTTTCATTCCAGAACAAACCTGAGCGTGCAACATGCTTGTGAAACAGAGAGACAGAGAGAATCCTGCCTTCCTAAATTGCCAACAGCCCAGTGGTTTGGGCCTCTTCTCTGTAGGAGACCCAGGTTCAAATCTCTGCTGTGCCTGATTTGGAGCAGTGTCTCTCCTGCATCGGAGACCTGCCCAACCTGAGTTTTGACCCATTATCATGAGAAGTTTTGGTTTCAACAAACCTGCCTTTTGCAATGACAAACCGTGTTTGATGACAAATTCCCAAGCAGATCTCATATTCGGGCTCTGGAGTTAGAGTTCAAGGAAATCTTCTCCCTTGGTGATTGCTAAGGACTGCTAAGGACCGTATCCCATGTGTTGCTTTTAACGGTGGCCTCCACTAGTCAAGCCCCGTTTCCCCACTTGGCACATGGATCCCACTCAGGTCCCTCTGTTAATTAATGCTTGCACCTGTGACAGCTCCCCTCTTAGCTGGCTTCACAGCCTGACTGAGCGAGGCCTAAAGGGACAGGTTGAGAGCCATCTGCTTGTTGGAAGGGTGTAAATGCCCCAGCTGGAGAGGCATTATGGTGGGCTAGGAGGGAGGAGGAAATGAAGGAAAGACAATGTCAGAGAGGCAGTCCCCTCTGAGTGGGAGCGAGTGGTGTGTGACTGGGGAAGTCTCTCCCTTAGGAGGGGTGGCAGTGCCTTCATGGAGACCTTTAAAAGGGCAGAGCCTTAGAAAATGCCCCAACAGGGAACGCTCCTAGCCCGGCCCGAAGTGACCTGAAAGGGCTCCTCCAACTCCAGTTTCTGAGACTATCTTCCATCAAAACAAATCTGCTCTGTTGGAACGCAGAGAGCTCTCCCAGGCTCATCTTCTAGAAATGTCCGGTGATAAAGGGCTGGAGGGATAATGCAGAGCTGGGAGGCCTCGAGTTCTAATCCTGACTCTGATTCAGTATGTGCCCTCAGGCAAGTCACTTCCTCTTGCTGCCTCAGTTTCCCTTTCTGTAACCTGTGGCTAGAAGAATGTGGCTGGGACTGACTCATGGGCTTACTGATCCAGGGGAGAGCAGTTGGTGCTGCTCCATCTACTGGTTAAGGATGTGAAGATTCCTGCCCCACCCTCTTTAAAAAGTCTTGTGCTGGGATAGGTGTGAACAGGGTTGTCTGGCTGAGAGGAGACAGAATGAACTCCAGAGCATCACAGAGAGTCGTTTTAATTATGTTATGACCAAGCAAAGGAGCCTGCAGCCTTTGCACCCATGACAGATCTATGTTGGTTAGGAATGTTTGACTGCTCGAGCGTCATCTCCTGGCCGTCCTTTCCGGGTTCTTACTCGGTCACTCTGTTTTCCTTTCCCTGTCTCTTCCTGATGCTTCTCTAGCCTTCCTTTCCGGGCTTTTCCTTAGGGCTCTTGCACACCTCAGTTGTTTCAAAGTCACTAAGGACCAAATTCGGGGCTCGTTATTGGCTGCTGATCACAAAAATCTAGCGGGGGGCGGGGGATGGAAAGCCCAGAGTTACCTCCTAAGCCAACCTTCACCTCTTGGGTTTGTGTTTCCAATAGGCACTTCGGAAGCTGGAGTGACCGCAGGCGCTGTGATAGGAGTGCTGCTGGTGCTCTTACTGCTCGGGGCAGCTGCGTTCTATCTGTTCTGGTACAGAAAGAAGGACAAGAAGGAGTCTCAATCCACGTACACCGGGAACGATTTAAGGTTAGAACCCCTGAGCAAAGCTTTCCTGTGGCTAAAGCAGGCAGGGTGTGTTCAGTGACACTGCACGGATCAGTCTATAAAGGATCCGCTTGGCCAGTGCTTCGTACGGCACTCACAAGTACAACTGTGTGATGGCAGCAAGGGGAACCCTTCAGACTTGGGGCTTGTTTTCAGATCTCACTGAGATTCCATGAGAGGCACCGGCCAGATTGCCCCACAGGGCAAAATCCATCCAAGGCAGGCCCGCCATCAGCGGAGACTTCCCCGTCCCCCACCAACACACTTCCTCCCTGACCTACAGCGCAGAGGGGAGTTCAGTCTGTGCTTAGCGTCTCTGCCAAGGCTGCGGATGGAAGCTAGTCTCTAGTGTGGGGATGTGGACGCCGGTTCCCCAGAAACTGAACTGCGATCCACCAGCTCATTTCACATAGGCCGCCAAACAGCCACCCGTGGGGACGGCTGTCAGTCACTGCTGATCCAGGGCAGATTTGAGCAAAGTTGAAAGGCTCTTGCTGACAACCCCCACCATTTCCATCCTGCTCCCAGGGGCTTGTCATCTTTGGGCAAGAGACACAGCTGCTGAAGCACGGATCTGCCCAGACATGCTGTTATCAGCACAGGCAGCTGGTGGGGCTTTGAGAAGCAGGTGGCTTTGTGCAGCTAACACGTCTTTAAGGTCTGGGATGTAGAATTCGCCGAGAGGTCCCAGGTGCACCTGGAGTTGAAGTTTGAGAATCAGGCACTGCAGTTGTGCAGCCTCCGACCTGAGGGTACTTGCCGCTAGACTGGAAAACATGCGGCACCGTGGGGCTGGCAGGAAGGATGGGGCAGGTGATGGGGTCATAGAATCATAGAATCATAGAATATCAGGGTTGGAAGGGACCTCAAGAGGTCATCTAGTCCAACCCCCTGCTCAAAGCAGGACCAATCCCCAACTAAATCATCCCAGCCAGGGCTTTATCAAGCCGGGCCTTAAAAACCTCCAAGGAAGGAGACTCCACCACCTCCCTAGGTAACCCATTCCAGTGCTTCACCACCCTCCTAGTGAAATAGTGTTTCCTAATATCCAACCTGGACCCCCCCCCCCACTGCAACTTGAGACCATTGCTCCTTGTTCTGTCATCTGCCACCACTGAGAACAGCCGAGCTCCATCCTCTTTGGAACCCCCCTTCAGATAGTTGAAGGCTGCTATCAAATCCCCCCTCATTCTTCTCTTCTGGAGACTAAACAATCCCAGTTCCCTCAGCCTCTCCTCATAAGTCATGTGCTCCAGAGGTTTTCTCTGTCTCTAACTGACCTGATGGAGTGATTGTGGTTTCCCATAGGGAGGCTGGCAAGCCCCTCGGTACACGGGTGTCACTCTGCACCAGTGTGCTTTGTTAAAGGGATGGAGGGCCACATCCTTAGCTGGTGTCGGTTGTGTTCATGGATGCTGATGGAGCTCAGCCAGTTGGTGCCAGATCGAGCTGATGAGTTTCCTGTTTGTTTACAGGGAGGATGCCACTGCCCCGGGGATCTCAGACACCTCCTTGCAGAGACAAGACAGCGACCCCGGGAGCCGCTTCCTGGAGCAGCCGGTGTCAAGGCCAGAGTCTGTCAGCACCACCAAGTCCAGACTCAACATGGTTGTGTGAGCGGGGGGCGGCGCTGGCTCCTGTTCAGCTCAGAAACCTCAGCTGGATTTTGATAC